TGGCAGATTTTCTTGTCTCACCAGATCCTGTCACCCTTCAGCCCCAAATAAATGCACAGAGACACTGTATTAGTTATTAAAATGTTGGCTGATGACTAGGGCTTCTTATTGGCTGGATCTGTCTTAATTATCAACCCATTTCTATTAATATAAGTATTTTCACGTGGTCTTGGCTTACCAGAGAATGCCCAGACCCATTACTCCTTTGTGGTCTACATGGCGACTGTTTTTGGCAGACTCCCTCTGCCTACCTTTCCCAGAATTCTCCTCATCTTCTCGTCTGGTAGCCCAGCCTATGCTTCTTGTCTAGCCACTTAGCCAAACAGTGGTTTATTCATTAACCAATAAGGGAAACATGTATACAGAAGGGCATCCCGCATGACAACTCCCAAAGCAAAGATATTATAAACCTTAATTTCTGAGGCTGATTTTACCCTCTTGTTCTTTCATCACTGCCTTTGCTTTGGTTGTAGGCATCACCCTGTTGGCTACTGTCATGTCTATTTTTCCCCCTCAGAAAGTCATGCTCTCTTTTCTTTAAATTTTTTAAAAATTTGAACTTTAATCCAGTTGCAGAGAAGGAGGAGTGATGAGCAAAGGGATCAAAACCAGGCTGGTGAAACCCACAGAAACAGCTGACCTGAACAAAGGGGGAGCTCATGGTCCCCAGACTGGTAGCTGGGAAACCAGCATGGGACTGATCCAGACCCCATGAACCTGGGTGCCAGTGAGGAGGCCTCAGAAATCTATTGGGCCTCTTGTAGTAGATCAGTACTTATCTCTAGCATAGGAATGGAATTTGGGAGCCCATTCCACATAGAGGGATTGCCCCTCAGCCTAGACACATGGGGGGGGGTAGGCCCTATCCCAAAGGATATGACAGACTCTGAAGAGCCCCTATGGAAGGCTTCACCCTCCCTGTGGAGCAGAAAGGGTATGGGATAGGCAGGGTGCTAGTTGGGGGGCAGGGGAGGAGGGAGAGAAAGAGAACTGGTATTGACATGTAAAACAATCTTGTTTCTAATTTAAATTAAAAAATGGAGAAAAAAATTAAACATTTATTTCATATAATGGTTTGATCCTGTTCTTACTCTCCTCCCACAATTATGTTCTTTCTCTCTTTCCAACAAACAAACAAGCAAAACCACATAACAACAACAACAACAACAACAACAACAAATGAATCAAAGGAAACAAAAGATGAACTAGTAAGTCAAAAATACCAAACAGAACAAAATGAATCAAAAATTCCCCCAAAACCCATGGAGTCTGGTCCATGTTGGCCTATTATTCCTTGGCATATGGAGCATGGTAGATCTACCCAGTGATACTCCACTTGAGAAAACTGGTTTCCCCTTTCTCAACAGGTGTCAGCTGCAAATAGCTCCATAGTTGGAGTGGGACTTTCTGTCCACCTACCCTTTTCAGCGCTGGGGGTATGTCTACTTTGAACCTGTACAAAGTTTTGTGCCTGTTGTCACAGTCTCTGTGAGCTCATACATATGTGTATCAGTCTCGTTGTGCCTAGAAAACATTGTTTACATGGAGTCATCTACCACCTTTGGCTCTTACAATCTTTCTACCTCCTCTTTCACATAAATTCCCCTGCAAGAGGTTTGGTAAAGACAACTCATTTAGAACTGAGTGCCCTTAAGTTCTCACTTTCTGCACATTGTATATCTGTGGGTCTCTGTTAATTACCATCCACTGGGAAAAGGAGATTCTCTGATGAAGGTTGAATGATTCACTGATCTATGGATATAGCAATATGTCATTAGGAATCATCTTATTACTATGTTCATTTAGCAGCATGCCTTCCAGCAGAATGAAAACTAGTCAGTAGGGACAGATGAAGCTTCTAGTTGGACACCAGGTCAAATTCTCCATGTTTAATAACATATGTTAAGTGGTGTCTTCAGCCATAGGTTTTTTCTCCCCAATTTGGTTGTGGATAGTAACCAATAACCCTGACAGCAGCCTGTGACTTTTTTGGGGGGGTTGTCTATTGGACCCCTAGGTCATGTTCTTTTATCTGTCTTTACAACTTCTTGTGAGTGAAGGCCCTTTGGTATCCTTGCAACCTTGCAAGTTATTAAAGTTATTGTAGAATCCTGACTTCTGGTAGTTAAGCATGGCCACCTAGTTCCTGTTACTTTGAGGTTGAAGTCATGCATTCGTATGAATGACTGGCTCAATGGTTGCCTTTACTACAGTCAGCTTCAGCCATCAGAGAAGAGCCACTATGTGCTCTTAATGACTTCAGATGTTGCTCTGGTCTCCAGGATATCTACAGAAAACATTCTCTTGGCATCACAATGTATCCATCTGAGTATCTCATGTTCCCACTTCCCTTGACCACTAGCCAGGGCAACCCAGGCATTTGTGCTTTTCTTGGCATCCTCTGAAGCTTCACTCAAGCTTCAAACAGCCACTCTAGCAGTTTGCTATATCCCTGGGGGATGCTTGCCAGGGTGTTCAATATAGTGCAATAAGAGTCCGCAAGCCAAAAAAATACTTGCTTATTTAATCTTATATTCTAGTTTCTTTGATCAAGTACCTTTTATCAGTCTGGGTCCAGTCAGGAAATAGAAACTATAGGGTAATAAATAAGAGAGTTTTAATATAAGGGATTATTAAAATCTGATGGAAAAGTAACTATAAAAAGGTAAAAAAAATTTCAAAAGTAAAACTTTTAGGTTGAGAAAATTCTAAAGAAGGAACAGCTTGGAAGAGACATTTTTCTCCCCACATTTAGGGCCCAAACCACATTGGAGTCAGTATGGATCAAGTTGGACAGCTGAGAATTGTTCCATTACAAGTGGGTGTTAGGGAATAGTCCTTTTGGATGTAAGATAACTGAGGATGGCAAAAGAGATGAGTGTGACAACCAGTGCAAACCCTGATGTATATCCATGTTGACTAGAGGAAGACTTCAGTGAGGTAGTGAAGGTATATATTACTCATATATACCTCTACATAGGAGACGATGCCCATGTGTAACGAGAGTTCCAATTAGTCTTAATTATTAAAACCACAGAGTCAGGTAGAGGGGAAAATGCTGACAGATCAGAGAAAAGAAGGAGCAAGCCAAAGTCACTAGCTACCCAGCAGAAAAGAGAGCGAGTTCCTGTTTCCTCCTACCCATAGTCCTTTCTCTGCCTAGGCATCTCACTTTCTGACCTCCAGACCTCTATGGCTAGCTAGTAGCAAGCTCCACCCTCTGGTCTTCAGACACACTTTATTTGTACAAACAAGATACCACCAGACCCATGTTACCACAAACAACATCCTAGTTCCTTCTAATAAGATAGAGTAATGCCTACAGGGGAAGAAATTATTTTATACCTTTCCCTAAGATGAAATAGCCTTGACAGTCTGAGGGTACTCTGCCGAACAAAGATCTTCAAGACCATCCATCCATCCATCCATCCATCCATCCATCCATCCATCCATGTGTCCACAACCATTACTTCTCCATCTCACATATTTCCCAGCTAGCATCATAAAAGATTTTCCTTGTGTGAGTATCCCTGTCATATATGCAGGTATTAGATTGATGAAGACGCCGAGAACTTGAAGAAATAGATATTAGCTCTTTGGTGGAAAATAGTTGAAGTGGGAGTCATGATAGAAAAGAGCCAAATGCTTGGTGCTGTCGCAGGACTGATAGTGTCCTGATTTTGGCAGAATTTGATCTGGCTTAGAAGTAGCTGCTGACATTGGAAGTGGTTGCAGAATCAGAGAAGCTGGGCATGAAGACCTGACACTTTATCAAGGTCAGTTGCCAACTGAGTTGTGACTCCTCTCTCTCTCTCTCTCTTTTTGTATTTTTGCGCTGGGGCCCATAGAAATGGCTCTGCTTTATCTTAAGGTCACAGAGTTCAAAGCCACTATTGCTCTCTCAAGTTTAAACAACAGGATATTTGGTCTAAGAAGTAACTAGTGTATTCTTTCTTTAATGACAGTCTAAGGTGTGGCTGTCTATCTTACCTAGACAACAGGATATTTGGTTTAAGGTGTGGTTATTTGATGTTTTGGGTATTGAGAAGGTTATTATGCTTGCTTGTTCTTTGTATCTTGGTAAGGAAGTCTCTTTTCCTTTCCCCACTTTTGATTGGGGTATATAAGACTGTGTATAATAAACTTGGGGGCTTTTCCCCAGTATTCACTGGAGTGCCCCCCCCAATTCGATCCTTGTCTCTGTATTTATTATCTGTAATTTTTCTACCTGCCATTCCTAAATTCACACACATCCCCAAGTATGGACTGGACCTGACAAAGCCCCACAAACAGGGCCTATGATATGTATGTATGTATGTATGTTTGTTTGTATGTATGTTTGTATGTATGTATGTATGTATGTACGCTTGTATGTATGATGTATGTATGCATGTATTTTACATCCTGACCAGTTTCCCCTCCCTCTTCTCCTACCACTCCCTTCTCCCCATCCCTCCCCCATCCACTCCTCCTCTTTTATTTCTCTTCAGAAAAGGGCAGGCCTCTCATGAATACCAACCAACCACTTCCTCTTCTATTAAGGCTGGGCAAGGCTACCTGGTAGGAGGAAAGGACACTAAAAACAGGCAACAGAGTCAAAGACAGCCCCTGCTCCCACTGTTATGAGTCTCACAAAAAGATCAAGCTACACAACTATAAAATATATGCAGAGGGCCTAGGTCACTCCCATGCAAGCTCCCTGGTTGTTGGTTCAGTCTCTGTGAGTCCCTTTGAATCCAGGTTGGTTGACTCTGTGGGTTTTCTTGTAGTGGTCTTGACCCAACCGGCTCCTACAATCCTTTCTTTCCCTCTTCTCCAGGATCCCTTCAGCTCCACCTAATGTTTGGCTGTGGGATATGGAATCTGGTTTCCATCAGTTGCTGAGTGAAGCCTCTCTGATGACAACCAGGCTAGGCACCTGTCTTAGTTAAGGTTTCTATTGCTGTAAAGAGACACCATGGACAAGGCAACTCTTTAACAGAAAACATTTAATTGGGGTGGCTTGCTTCCAGCTCAGAGGTTTAGTCCATTATCATCATGGTGGGAAGCAAGGCAACATGTAGGCAGACATGGTGCTGGAGAAGGCGGTAAGGGTTCTTGTAGCTTCACCCTCAGACAACAGGAACTGGTCTGTCTCACTGGGTGTGGCTTTAGAGGATATGAGACCTCAAAGCCTGCCTCTACAGAGACACACTTCCTCCCACAATACCACACGTACTCCAACAAGGCCATACCTCTTATTAGAACCACTCCATTTGGGGGCCATTTTCTTTCCAACCACCACATTCCATTCCCTGGCCCTCAAGGGCTTATAGCCGTATCATAATGCAAAAGAATGCATTCAGTCCAACTTCTAAAGTCCCCATGATCTATAACAGTCTCAAACTTATTTAAAAGTCTAAAGTTCAATATCTCTTCTGAGATTCATGCAATCTGTAATCCTCTGTAAAATCAAAAAGCAGATCGAATACTTCCAACACAGGACATGCATTACCATTCCAAAATGCAGAGAAGGGAGAATAGTGAAGACATACTGGACCAAAGCAAGACTGAAAACCAGCTGGACAAACTCCAAACTGCATCTCCATGTCTGATGTCAAAATGCTTTTCAAATCTCCAACTCCTTTCAGCTGTGTTGACTGCTGGTTCCACTCCTGTTAACAGCTCTCCTCGAAAGGTATCCCACAACTCTGGCATCTCCAACATTTTGGGATCTGCAAGGCAAACCAGGCTTCATCTTCACGGCTTATGCAATGGCCTCTCTAGGCCTGGAGATTCAGGGACATCCCTGTCACATGCCTGGCCTCAGCAGCTTTCCTTAGTTGTGGAGGCAAATTCTATAGCCCCTTTCTTCTGTCCTTAACTCTACATGGCTGAAAATGCCAAGTTCTGCTGCTTGCTGGGGCTAAACCATGGCCCCCTTGCTCAATTACATCTTCACCAGCTTTCTGTCTTCGATGGTTATCTTCACTGCTTAGCTGTCCTTGAACTTGTTCTGCGACCAGGCTGGACTCTAACTAAGAGATCCACCACCCTCTGCCTTCCCAGTGCTGGTTTAAAGGAGTGTACCACCACACCTGGCTTTAAGATTTTCTTTGATTGATTTTCACAATTTGGAAACTAAGCTGGGTGGGATCTTGCCCTGAGGTCACCACTCCCTTTATTTCATTTCTTAATCTGTTTATCTCCTTGAACACAGGACAGCTCCATTCCACTTAATTCCATTCCTGGTGCTCCTTTTCTCCTCAAATTGTTCCACATCTTATATTTTTTTCTTGCTCAGTTCACCCCTTTTCATTATAAATCTTCATGTGAGTTACCACTAATAGCCACATGACAGAATCTATACTAGGCTGTTTTGAGATTTCCTCTGCCAACAGAATTAATCCAAAACTCTCCATTTTAGCCTCAGGCAGACTCTTTGGACAAGGGCAAAAAGCAACCACATTCTTCATCAAACATCAAAAGAACAGTCTCTAGGCAAAGCACTAAAATTATTCTCCTCTGAAATCTCTTAAGCAAGCACCCCCCTCCCAGTTCAAATAACTCTTAGCACCACTCTCTTCCTTGCTTCTACTAGTATGGTCCATCAAGTGGTACTTAAAGCATTCCACTGCTTTCCTAACCCAGACTCCCAGAGTCCAAATTTCTCTAAACAAAAGCATGGTCAGGCCTTTCACAGCAATATCCCAGTCCCTGGTACCAACTTCTTAGTTAGGGTTTCTATTGCTGTAAAGAGACACCATGACCAAGGCAACTCTTACAATGAAAAACATTTAATTGGGGTGGCTTGCTTACAGCTCAGAGGTTTAGTCCATCATCATCATGGTGGAAAGCATGGCAGCATGCAGGCAGACATGATGCTGGAAAAGGAGCTGAGAGTTCTACATCTTGACCCACCAGCAATAGGAAGTGGTCTGTCTCAGTGGGCGTGGCAGTGAAATATATGAGTGAAAATATATGAGACCTCAAAGCCCACTTCTACAGTGACCTACTTCCTCCCACAATACCACACCTACTCTAGCAAGGCCACACCTCCTAATAATGCCACTCCCTTTGGCGGCTAACTTCTTTCAAACCACCACAGCACCAATCTATGAATATAACAGAGTATTATTAGGAATTATTTCATTAACTCTATTTTTCTGTTTTTGCCAGTCATGTTTGGTTCTATCCTAGGTCTCTAGGGGCTATCCCACCTCTAGGTCCTGGCTTTCCAGGAAGCATCAGGGGTTAGCTTCTTCTCATGGTATGGGTCTCAAGCTGAATGAGTCATTGGTTGGCCAGAATAATACTCAACTTCATATGGAAAAATAAAAAAAAACCCATAGTAGCTAAAACAATCCTGTACAGTAATAGAACTTCCAGAGTATTACCATCCCTGATTTTAAGCTGTGTCACAGAGCTATAGTAATAAAAACCACAATGTATTGGCATAAAAACAGACAGATGGATCAATGGAATCAAATCAAAGACCCAGAAGTAAATCCACACACTTATGGACACCTGATATTTGACAAAGAAGCCCAAATTATACAATGGGAGAAAGAAAACACCTTCAGCAAATAGTACTGGTCTAACTGGATGTTGGCATGTTGAAGAATGCAAATAGAGTTGTGACTCTTAAACATGACAGTGAGCATCAAAACTAGCAATGCAATATAGAGAAAGTGGTTGAAATGTTAGTTAGCACTTGAAGTCAGACATGTTTAGGTCCTAATATTAGTTTCTTATCAATAAAATTGAGATGATACTAGGAATGATCTCAGAGGAATGTCTGCTAAGAATCAAGTATGACAATGTACATAAAGTTCTTAACATAAAACACAATACACTGTACTCAAATAGATTTCCTATGTTTAAAAACAATTGTTGGGCAGGGGATATTGGTAGAGGACTTATGTAGCATGCACAAAGCCCTGGGTTCAGTCCCCAGAGCTGCATAAAGGAGAGGGAGCATGGCGATACATGCCTGTAATTCCAGCATTCAGGAGGGACAGAGAGGAGGATCACATGTTCAAGGTTATCCTCAGGTAAAGGGAGAGTTCTGGGGCATCCAGAATGACAAGAGAGCCTGTCTGAAGATAAACAAACAAACAAGCTACAAGCCAGAACCATTTCACAACTACAAGGAACAAAGAAATGAAGGAGCAGAAATAAGAAAGTTAAGCACAACATTGGAATATTTCATTTTTTCTTTTGTTACCAGTAGGTTTGTTTTAGAAGGTGGCTCCACACTTTTGGTCCAACAGACAGTTCTTGTAATCCAGGGATTGGATTTCTAGGACTATCCCAGTGCATAATCAGATTAAAATCTTCATGCTACTGGAGTTTAACTTCTAATAGGATACGGTTGCACATGCCTTCATTTCTGAGAAACCTTTTCTTTGCACATCAGAGGAGGAACAGCAAAGGTCAATTCATGGGGAGCAAAGAGGCTGTGGGTGGGTTTCATGTGAGAAACATGGGGTGTGTGAAAAGAGTCCCCGCCAATCCTCATCAGCTTCTTTATAGGAATCTTCTTCCTTTGGAGTAAACGGAAGAGTAATCACGAGCTCTGGTTGGATGAATATTTTGATTACATTCATTAAAAAGTAAAGCATGCTCTGGGTAGCTGACCATTTACTCCTCCAATTACATACACCCCCACACACACACATATGCACCCTTTCCTACCCTACATTGTGTGGAAGTTGACTGGTAGGGATTGCATCACCAAGTTCCCTAGCTTTAGTTGGGTTCAGCAAAGGCAAGATGCTTCAGGAGATCCAAGAGCAGGAGGAGAGAGGTCAGGGAATTATCCTTCTAGGCATCTGTCTGCCAGGCTGGTTTGGTCCTAGCTGTGTCTTTGTGTCCAAGGTTTCAGCTGGTGTTAGCTGGTCTTACGATGATCCTGCCTAAAATAGTAAAAGCCTCCTGATGATGTTAACCCTTGCCCGTTGCTTGCTCGTTTCTCTTAACCCTACCCATTACTGTAAACTGCCTCCTCATTAACCTCTCTTCTTTTGAAGGTATCCCTTTCCCATTTGATACAATTATCTTTCGATTCTAAATCTGGTCTCTCATTTATAAAACAGGGACGACAGCAGCAACTGCATCATATAATTTTTGTGATGGGCAGGTGAGAAAATAGGCAAGATTCTTAGCACAGTGACTAACACACAGTGGCTATTTCAATGGGTGTTAGCTACAAGTTTCATTCCTACCATTATGATTATTCTCTATTTAGGACCCAGCAACTAGGACAGAAAAAAGAATGCCAAGAAATGGGCTTTGAGCTAAAGCCTCCCTTAGTATCAACATCTGAGGCAACATTTAAGTACAACTAAAGTCTGAGTCCCTCAAGAGTTGTTTATTAATACATGGTAAAAACACCTTTGCCAATATTCCTGTGGTTGATAAAAGCAAAGCATACTCATTATTACTGAACATATTTGTAAGCCAAAGATAAGGGCTCCTCCTGTTTATGTATCCCTTGATGCAAATTAAATTAATTTGGAGAAGGAAAGCCTAATCAGCAGCAGGAGGTAGAGGAAATATTCTTTAAGCACATAAAAAGGCATTACTACAACCTGGAGGAGCAAAGCGATTTCATCCTAAGTATTTTACAATTCTTGAATGTATAATATATTGCAGCAAACAGAAAGCAATACATCAAGATAAATGATGTAGCAATTGGACCACATTATCTGTGTAATCATGTTCATGTGGTTTGGATGCTTTCATTCATGTGGTCATTCAGGAGATAATAGTTCTAATGAGGCTGGATTGCAGATTTTATCTCCATAGAAGCCCCATAGCACAGAGAAATCGCCTGCTCCATTATCTGTAACTCTGCCCATAACCTGATACTCCATTTTTCACATGCATGATTATGGCCACGAGAAAAATAGAAAGCAGAGGCAGAGTATGGTACCAATTAATTTCCATGAATCCCAAATACATTGTATTTTTGTGCTCTCTCTCTCTCTCCCTCTCCCTCTCTCATGTGTGTGTATGTGTGTGTGAGAATGTTCATGTGTGTAGTGGTGCAATGTGCCTAAGTGTGTGTGTATAGATGGCATGCCTGTGGTGGTCAGGAGACATCCTCCATGTGTTGGTCCTCAGGCACCTTCCACTTTTTGTTTGAGATACGTTCTCTCATTCATCTGGAACTTCACCATGTGAGGCCAGGCTAGCTGCCTTGTGAGCTCAGACTGCACTGCTCCTTACACTGCCATCTGCCTAGACTTCCCTAGGCTTCTGTCTTATGTTCCTCTCTTTGCCCAGCCATGTGCCTTCCTGTCTCCACCTCATTAGTACTGGGCTTAAAGTTGTGTCACTCCAAGTGCTAGGATCATCTTTGTGGGAACTCTGTTTCTCTTTCAGACTGGATCAATTTCAAGTCCCAGGGCAGCCTTGAACTAGCAGAAATCTATCTGCCTCTATCTCCCAAGTGCAGGGATTAAAGGTGTGTACCACCAATGGCTGGCCTCTATGGCTAACTAGTGTGGCTAGCTTTGCACTCTGATCTTCAGGCAAGCTTTATTTGTTAGATCATAAACAAAATATCACCACAATGATTATGAAGAGTATCATTTATTAAAGAACTACTATAGGATTATAGATGAACATGAATCTGGCTTCTTTCAAGTTATATCAAAGTGCACATTAAATTTCAGATATCATTCCATTCAGCCAGCATGACAAGTAGCCATCTTTAGATCTGGATTAAACAAAACTAAAATTTAAATTTCTGACATATAATTTTTGACATTATAGCCCATCTTTCTCTAGTTCGTAAGAATCAAAGTATCATATTTCTTAAAGAATTAATATTTTATTTATATTTCATTTCGGTAATTTGTTCACTTACCATTTTTATTGAGTCAGAAGAACTCAGTTAATATATCAAAATAAAGTGAATTAAGATTAAAACACATATAAAGGTCATTGTCCAAACATACATAAATATTATTAGAAATATGTGTAACTACAATGACTAGAAATATTCAGTCACAAATAAGATACAATTGCTACCTCTGAGTATATGGCATAGGTAAAAATGCTCAGTAAATGGAGAAAACACATTTTTGCCAGGTGATTGTTCTAGAATTGAGTATATAATATGATCTTCAGTGATACAAACCTTGCTCCCCTGTTCTCAAAAGCATCTGGAGAACTTGTTGCTCAGCTGCCAACAGTAAGTGTGCATTGGCAACCCCTTATCTTTAAGGTTACCATTTGGTGGCTTTTCTTTTCAAACACATATGTATATTCCATTCTCTGTCCAAGTCAACATTACCGGGTTCTATCTCCCCTCTTCGTGGCATCTCCAGTGAACTGTCAGGAAATAAAATAGAGGAGCTTCATTTTGATCTGAGGAAGCAATGCCTGCAAGCTAGAGTTCATCCAGAGGAGCTTGCCTGAGGGAAATTAAAGTCCTCACAAATTAAATACTTGTCCACTGAAAATATTAGACCCAGAAACTATTAGACCCAAATCCTCTGCCTCCCGAGGCAAGCCCTCCTTTTGCTTTCAATAGTGATGATGTTCTATGCTTTCCCATGCCACCCTCCGAACATACTTCCTCAGTGTGTGCTCTGCTGTGGCTAAATTTATTGAGGCTATTAACTGGACCTTGAAATGCACGTTCCGCCTTGTGGTGTTAGGTAGATTCAGATGTAAAATCTCTGCTGTGTTCTTATGACGGCATATGGACTTCAATCATTTTGGACCACTTCAGCTTAATGTCACTGGAAATTCTTTGCATGGATCATGGACAACATGTGACCCCCAAATTCTTTTCAGCTTTCTTTATTAGCTTTCATCTCTTCTAGGACATTTGAATTGTATATTTGAGTTTTTTAATGTATGCTATCTCATATATTAATAATGTATAGGAATATTTAATGACATGAAAACAAAAGTGGCGACTTTAGCAGGAAAAATGTTTGAGGGGTGTTCACTCTGCTTTTCCTTGCTTTAACAGCTCAAAGTGAATTAGCTGCAAAGATGCTAACTTAGCACTAAGTCTTCTGCCTACTTCATTCTGCTTCAGGGTCCTGTGCTACTGAAGCACTTCTCCTGGCATAGGCATTGTTCTTCCTTGTATCCATGCCTGTGTCTGTTAAGACCTTTTATACAATAGCCTCAGAACTCTGGTTGCAATTAGAGTTTTGATTAGCTGTCAGTGATGTCATAGCTATGGTTATTTTAAATCCACTGTGCTAAGTGTTTTCCTTTTCTTAATGTACTGTAGAAATTCCATTTCTTGACAGCAATAAGACACTTCAGGCAGTGTGTTTCAGGGCCAATATTGCACTTCTCATGGAGTTAAGACACTTGGCCTTCAGCCTCATGACTTATAACATAATCTGAGTTATGCTATAATCACCCAGATATACACACAGTCTGTTGTGTTTTATTGCCTAAATGGAACCTACCCCAGCACCTCATCAACGGACAAGGTGGGAATATAGACCCGAATGAATACTCAGAACCCCACTGGGAGTTGCATTTGGTCAGCTCTCCTTCAGCCATTCAGGGGCTGTGCTGACACGATGGACGCCTTTTGCACATTTACCACGCAATAGACATCAAGCTGTCCAATGTCTCAGGTCTCACTGCCAGACTGCCTAGCTTAGTGTGCCAAATATCTCCCCCTCAACACATTTACTGAACTTTAAAACAGCAGAACAGCATTGAATGAAGTCCAGTAATTTTTATAGGATATATTTTAGTCACCAGACTTTGAAGACCATTCCAACATTAATTATAAAGTTTCTGTGTCTGGATAACATATTGTTAACAGTTATTTTGTGAGTGCTAATGGCAAGATGGAAGGCTTCCAATAATTTTATTGAGGAAGTGGCAATTAAAATGTTGAACACTACAGTGTACATGCAAAATAAAAATAACTTTGCAAACACTGTACATCATGACAAAAATGGGGAAATGGTTTTTGAGGAGATATAACCATTTTTCGTTTGTATCTCATGTTTGCTTTAAAAGCATTAAGGGGGGTCTGTGTATGTTTGTTAACATTTAAAAGAAGCATAAAATACTCAAGTGCTAGGCTGGTTTGATATTGTTTACTAGGACATCATGAAATGATTTCAGGACAAGTTGTTATCCATATTTCTTTCAATAACAAATATCACTAAAATGAGATCACTGGCTTAGTGCGACAATTTATGACTAGTCATGCATAATCTGTTTTTTTTCTAAAGACTTTCAAACATCTCATCCAACATGGATTGCCCTCTGCAACTCCATTTGTGTGGCCACCGGTGTTCCAAACTCACCCACCACAGTCAGCAAGCAGCTCTGGGTTGTTGGCCTGTCAGAATGATTGACAGCAGCAGGCAAGCAGGCGAGGTGGAAAGGCTCAGCTACACTGTGTGTGGGGAAGACACAGGAGACTAAAGTCAGTGTTCAAAAGCAGAACGATGTACTCCAGGGCATCTTCAACACACTGCTTTGCTCCCTTTGCAAGTGGAGTGAAAACTGATAATTACAGAATCAAATCACTGAACCCAAGAGGTCCTGACCTTCCATCAATAGTTTGCTGATGTTGTATTCAGATAGAGATTTTAGGCCAAGAGCTTGGCTGTTTGTGGCTTTACTTCATCATAATCGTTTTTAGCCATTAACTGGCTGCTACATAATTTAGACCTATGTTTTCCTATCCATTAGTGAGAATTGGTTTTTTTGTTTATTTTTTTAAAGATTTTATTTATTATGTATACAACATTCTGTTTCCATGTATATCTGCACACCAGAAGAGGGAACCAGGTCTCATAACAGATGGTTGTGAGCCACCATGTGGTTGCTGGGAATTGAACTCAGGACCTCTGGGAAAGCAGTCAGTGCTCTTAACCTCTGAGCCATCTCTCCAGCACTTTTGTTTATTTTTTTAACTGAAGAGTAATCTATGTTTTAATTTTGTTTAAATCTATAATCAGGATACTTATCCATATTGGCTAATGAAGTCATCCCCATGCGGACTGCATGTGGTTTCTGGCTGAAGAATTTTCCTTACCATTATTTTTCTCAGATCATAATGGAACATTTCCCTGGGTCTTTCCCCAGGGGGTCACCTGTTAAAAACACCTTTTCTTCTGAAGGTCATCTATGGGAGCAGCAAAAAAGGGACAAGATCATCTCATCTCACCCCAGAACAGAAGCTGAAAATTCAGCAGTGTTTTTCCCACTTCTGTTAAATCAAAGTGACAGTTAAAAATGCTTTTAAGGACTACTATTCAGAAAAGGGATAATTTCAACAACAGATTTCTCTCTCTAACATAGGTTATCCTAGTTTGCTTTCTGTCGCTGTGGTAAAACACTAAGAGCAGCCTGGGAAGGGTTTTATTTCAGCTTACAGTTGTAGTCCATCAGGAGGGGAAGTCAGGGCAGGAACTGAAAGCAAAGGCCATAGAGAAACAGTGCTTACTGGTTTTCACCTCACAGCTGGCTCAGCCTGCTTTCTTATAAAACCGCAATCATGTGCCCAAAGAGGTCACAGCCTATAGTGGGCCACCTCTCCATACAGTGGGTTGTGTCCTCCCACAGCAATATTAATGAAGAAAATGCCCCACAGAGCTGCCTGCAGGCCAATGTGATGGAGATATTTGCTCAGTCAAGGTGCCCTTTTCCCAGGTGAGTCTAGTTGGTGTCAAACTGACAAAAACTGAACATAGGTGTATTTTTATTGACTTAGTTCTTTTATTTACCTTTCTGCTCATTTTTCTGAATCAGAAACTTAAACTATGATTTAGATTGCTCTTTAATATTTAATAAACATCAGGAGAGTACGAATTTCAGTTAAATAATTCATTTGTTGGCATTGGTGGTGTACGCCTTTAATCCCAGCACTCGGGAGACAGAGGCAGGTGGATCTCTGTGAGTTTGAGACCGGCCTGGTCTACGAGAGCTAGTTCCAGGACAGCCTCCAAAGCCACAGAGAAACCCTGTCTCGAAAAACAAAAAACAAAAACAAAAACAAAAACAAAATAAAAATCTACCTCAGTAGCAGTATTTCTTTGTGCTGCCATTCTTAAGGTGATGTATCGTGTAGATTTACTCCTCAGAAGATACTCTTGCTTCATATGTCCATATGGCTTTTTCATTTTTTTTTACTGCTGTGAAGAAGCAGAACGTTATCTTTTGTTGTTGTTACTTTTGAGATTGTAAGTACAATCAAAGTAATGTTAGTGGGTATGCACCGATCCATACGTCTTGCGATCTGTTCTCTTTCAGAGATTAGAGAGAAGTAACAGGGATGGGGAAAGAAAACTTAAATCCACCCACAGTCTTCATTCTGTTACATATGAACACCCTAAAATGAGGAGCTGCCAAATGATTGACAGGAAAGGCACAGGAGTAGAATTGGAGTTCCTAATGGATACATTTTTGGTATGAGAAATCAAAGCAAAACTCCAGTTAATGATAAGCTACAGCGGAGGGTGGGACTGATGTTTACTGAATATTCACAGCAGACCAAGTACTGTATAGCGTCCTTTGACGGAATTCATCACATTTAAATACTAGAATTAGTGATGAAGGCATAACTCATCTCATTTGATAAAAAGGAGAGTAAAGTTCAGATATTTTAGGAATTTGCCCAACATTTTTCCATGTGCGCATGGCTTGCCTTTACTAAACTACTTCTAAGTAGAATGAAAAGATAATTACAGGAAATGAGAAGTCACACTACACCTTCAGGATATAACAAAAATGAGACCTGTCAGGGGGATGGCAAGATGGCTCAGCAGGTAAAGGCATCTGCCTCCAAGACTGGTGATCTGAGTTCTATCTGCAGAACCCATACTGCAAAAGGAGAGAACTAGGCCCGCACTGTCCCTCACACATACCCTATCACATGTTCTCCCCACAAACAAATAGCAACTTGAAATGTAATTTTCAAATAAGAGCTGTCTTTGTTTTGTGGATTTGTTTAACGGAAAAGACCTTCTATCAATAACACGCCTTTTTGTTTTGTGATCTTTATGATTACCTCTGTAGAACAATTTAGAAAACACTCTTACCCAAAGTAATCTATCTTTGGGAAGGACTTATAAACAGCCAATGAAAGTTTTTCCTTGTCCTGTAAAAACCCAGCCTGTTCTATATTTAGGTCTAGCTGGATGCCTGAGTTCTTTCAATGGAACACTGTAGAAGGGATAAAGTAGCATTTCTAGGCCAGGTGCATACCACTTTCATAGTATAGATTTTCTACTTTTGCATTCCCACCTTATATTTCTGTTTCACCTCCTTTTCTTCCTTCTTCTTCATGGTGGACATCAAACTCAGGATGACATATATGCCAGGCAAGAGCGGCTGAGGCACACCCCCTGACTGGCATTGCTTTTCTTCACACAGATTGACACAGAAGAACATGTCAGCCTAGGAGACTGCTATATGGAGCCCAGGGAGCCCCAGGTGATCGGGAGTAGACAGTTCATCCACACATGAGCGAGGAATAAATGTTTGGGTCATGAAAAGCTTTGGCTTGGCTCTTCACAGTAGTGAGTAAAGCTCATTGCCTATCCAATTTTAATATTGTATGGAATTTATTACTTCTACTTGTTAGAGATACTGTTTGCCAATCTCCACTGATGTCACTGAAAAAGAGTTTCTATCTGACTGTGTTATTGTGGTACGTTCAGCATTCTCTATTATCTCTAAGTTACTAAAATACACAAACAGGCTAATACAGTTTCAATTTGTCTTTCACAGGCATCTATATATTCCCTCCCCTGCTCCACACACAAACACAAGTCCTCACCCTGCCACTGGAATTCTGCCTAAAATGAAACAGCAACAGAACAGAGGTCAAGAACTTGGAAGGCTTCATATGGGGAAAACCAGGTACAGCTTGATTTAATATCAATATTTCATGTGTTCAGAGAGTAGAATTTCAGCCTACAAGATAACAGCCCATCATTTTTATGTCCTTCCATCTGTGAAAAGCTGTTCCTCAAAGAGCACTGTATGAACAACCTAGCAGCTTTTCATTTTGGGCTCCATATTTTGGAGAGGGAGGGGAAAAAGAGATCTTTTGATGCAGAACCAGACTCTTGAGAAGAATTGAAATCTACAGAATGTCAGGGCCAGACTCATAAAGAATGCAGATTCTCCCCCATCCATATATATTACTAGGGAAAGGCACAGAGCACAAATCTTTTAACATAATGAAACCTTTGCCTTCTACACATATAAAACAGAGGTTACACATCTACTACCTTTCAGAGCCCAAACAGGTATTCGCACTGACGGTCTGGCTGGTGGGTGTTGCAGGAACAGATTGAAACTATAAAGGAAAGCCAGAGGGGCAGTGTTTTAAATGAAGGTTTAGTGCAATGGTGAGGGTTAAAAGATAATGCAGGGCTATGGGGTTGCAGAGATGGATCAGCAGGTAAGAGCATTTGCACAGGACCCTTGTTTGTTTCCTAGCACCCACACAGTGACTTTTAACTGTCTGTAACTGTAGCTCAGGGGATCTGATGCCCTCTTCGGGCCTCCATGAGCACCAAGCAGGCATATGATGTACATACAAACATGTAGGCAAAACACTTTTGCACATAAAGTATAATAAATAAAACTTAAAAAAATCCACCACCACCACCACTAAAAAAGCAAGTAGATTTTATTAAAGCAAACCCCACTCTAAAGTGGTGACACTTTAAGTATGCATGAATCATACTTATTGGTTCCAGCAGAACTCTTAGGATAATAGAGGTAATAGAAGGCCAGGGGGAATCTTTCTCTCTGACTTCCCATCACTCCTGTGACATCTGGGGAAACCCTAATGATAACCTTGGATCAGAGTATCAATGCTATCATGGGGTCAGGAATGTCCTATGCTAGGCAACTACCTCCTCATCAAAGCACCTCTCAATATTCCCGACCTTTAAAATACTAAGAACTTTGTGGTGTCTTGAGGACCATTCACTTCCCATGAGGCTCTCTTATACTTCTAAGCACTTTAGACAGGATCCTTACCCCTTTCCATAGACTTCTGCCTTTTTATTCTTCCGTGGATACAAGGCATTTCTCTTTGAATTCACTGAGAATTGTGAATTATTTGTTCACTTCACAATTCACAGAAAATCAACTTTTGTTTTTAAAAGCATGTTTTTTCTTGTTAGAGCTAAAGCATTGCAATATACAAATTCCAATAGCGGATTGACAATGAGTCCCTGTTCCTTCAAGTTCATTACATCTCATTGTACAGCCTTCAAGCTGTTACAGTGTTATGGTGCAGGTGAATCATAGAATATACTTTTTAAAAAACCTTCTTAAGTGTAAACAGGTAGGTTTCTGAGATGTTCCTTGAGTGGGCAGTTCATTCAGTGTTCACCAATTGCCACCTGTAGGTGAGGCTTTGGTTACTAAGAAGCTCAAAAAATATGTAACAAAATACAGGGGCTGAAAGTTACTGGGCGCGAAATGCAGAGAGGGCAGACTGTCCATCATTTAATTTAATTCCAACAAGAACTTAAAAAAATGGATATTATTAGGGCGGTGGTCCTCCGGGTAAGGTTTATAAGAGTTAATTCATCCACCTGCTGTGTAACAAAACTTTTCATGAGGAGACCCTACATCATACCCACTCATACATCCCAAATAGGGAGCATGTGACAGCATGTCTCCCATTGAGGTTCAGCTTGGTGAACCAATGAGTTCTTAGTTTATATGAGCAGAAATGACTCACAGACATCTGCATACCTGGAGCCCACCCCAGCATGGGTGACAGATCACAAAAGCTGGGAACCCAGAGCACACCACACAACCCGAGGACAGCTTAACAAGTTGGAGAGTGTCCTCTTCAAGTGCTGTGACACATATGCATACCCCACCAATAAAATAATAGCATTCAAAGTACAATAAAAAGAAAGTATCATTGTTTTTAAGCACTTAATATTTAGTAAATATTGGTCACTGTGACTGTTCATCTTAATTTCTGGAGATTAATTTTGCATTGAGCCTGTTCAGATAGCCCTGAAGTGAGAGAAAAACACCACCAGTGGAAAACACAGGAAACTAGCAGCCTCTCGGTAACTCTAAGATTGTGTGGTACTGTCATACAGTCATCTTTAGTACTCATTGATAAATGACACACTGACCCATGTCACTTTTTGCACAAACTACATGTTTCTTTTTGCTTGTAGGAGTTGGGACAGCATCTAGTCAAACTAGAATACATTTTATGAAACAAAATGGGTACAGGTACCTGTTGTGTGTGTGTGTGTGTGTGTGTGTGTGTGTGTGTGTGTGTCTTATCCTACATGCACCATTTCCCATATACTTGAAGCTGACCTAAGTTTGGGTAAATTGTCAATTGTTCAGACATCTTTCGTTTTATAACCCAATGGATACTACTGACCAATAACAACACATCTGTTCCATAGAAAGGCAAATGATACTAAGACCCTAATAATAGATGGTCACCCTCTCCTTTTTTTTTTTTAACAAACACCACAGAGTTGAAGATTAAAGTTAATCAACCAACTTTTCCTTAACTAATTATACACAGGCAGGGCTCGATGCTTTACTTTCTCTAAGTTTCATAGAAGGTAGATAGTATAATTTGTGTAGCAATTCTAGAGTCTGAAGTAGAGCTGGGATGGTGGTGGTGAACAAATCCAGAACTGCTCTTCTTACTCTTTAACAGAGGGTTGAAGTTCAGCCAGAGGTCTTGGATAATGGGAGTTTTTAGAGGATATTTAGTGAGGTCCCTATTGGAACGTTATCTATATTGCAAACAACTGTACATCATTTGGTAATCACTGGCATGTTTCGTCTTGGGAAAGACCTCATACTGATTGGCTTTGTGTAAAGTGGAGAGGTCACTATTCTGAGGATGCCAGCACACTTCTGTCCCATCAAATCCCACATGTCAAGCAGGATTATCCGATGGAGGAGTGGAAGTAGTGAAGAGAGAGAGAGAGAGAGAGAAGCCCTTGAGCCATCCCAGCACCCCAGGAGGTTTTCACACCCTTTTCTTGGCAAGCACATAAAATGAGGGGGTGGGCTCCACTGTCTCCAAGGTCTGTTAAGGCTTTAACATGCTAGACTCTGGGCTCTGTTTGCTCTCTGAGCCTCTGGGCCTTGGCTGTCCAACCTAAAATGGTGAGGG